TCAAACACATCAGGCACATCAAATTCTAAAAATTCCATCTATACAAGTTGGCTTGGTTGTTTTGGAATTGTGCCGGGTGGATGTTACTGTATGCAAAGCGCACACAATTTTTTTATAGCCGTTTTGCTTCCTGTGGATTAATTTATAACATTCTAAATTCAATGTTTTATAATAAATTGTCAGGTTTATTTGTTTAATTATGGAGCTTAATTAGTGATTTTATTTCAATTATTTGAGATTACGTTTACATCCGGATTACTAACATAACTAATATAGCAACTCATTTGTCTGTAGACTTTGGCTATTCACTGCTTAGCATGGTGTTTACAAAAATGCGCTAAAACTGTAGTAGTAAGTGAAGGCCAATCAATGCTGATAAAACTGGGCAGACGTGTTACCAACACAAACCAATACAAAGCAATTCCCTCGCACTGGTAAATGCTACATCTTGTTGCTAGAATTTGGATAAAGCATTTTGATATATAATTTTTTTTTAAATTTGGTAGATAGTGACAATCATGATGAAGAAATTGTGTTGAAGTATTCTTGATTTTGTAAACTTTTGTTTTATTACATAGGTAAGGTTGATAAATTGAAAGAAAGAATGATATATTATTTGTTTTACACAAAAAAAATCATATTTCATATTATTCTTACGTAAGTATTTCTACGTGATTGGTTGTATAGTAATTTGAAAATTCATCCTTGTCGGTAATGATGTGTGATATATTATACATAATATATATATATATATATATATATATATATAAAACTTTTTGCTGCAGTAGTCACTTAGCATCAAGCGGGGACAACCATAGCTCGGTCGTATTACACAAACGTATAATACGACCGAGGGTGGTAAGCTTAAGATTTCTTGTATGAAATGAATTAAAATTACTACATTTTAATACGGACTTATATGTATACTACGAAACCGGCACTTCATAAAAAAACGGTGTCACGGCTGTGGATCACGCGAATCACACCGCCGCGCAGGCGTGAGTTAGGTGAGGTAGCTGACATGGTAAATACGCCACGCAGTTGTATTTTCATTTACGACAGCTCGGACCGTAGATCAGTAAATGTGAATCTTCTTATGACGAAAGAAAGTACTCGTCACAAAAATATTCTCTTCCACACATTGGTGAGGAGGCCATCACCAATCTTATTTATACTTTCATCACCAAATATTCCCAATATCTTTTCATAACCAGACCTTTTCACACCAACCAACAAACAAATTGGAGCAGTGCGGCGGACGAATTGCTCAAAAATCCTTTGAAATTAGAGGAGGCCTTAATCTTAGTTAACATTTGTGTAAAGTAATTAATATCGGTTTGATTTTGGTTTCTAACAATGTAACCTATCTACGATTTCATCGCATGTTGGGTATGTAAATGGATTTTCTAAGGATTTGGTCTGTTCAATCGCGGAATTTTAATATCCTGCATAGTACCTTGAAGGTCATTTAAGAGGTAGAGTGTTAAAAATAAATAAACACACATTATGATTACGTAGGCCAAATTTATTTTATTTAAAAAATTACTTTGTACAATTAACTAAATTTATAGTTCCAGGTTGCATTACATAAACTGTTTATGTTGCACCACTAACTAATTTTATCTCACTCCAGTAAACCATTACTTTACAATTTCTATTCGCTAAAATTTCTTTACAAAGTTCAAAGCTTTACAAGTATTTTTATTTTGTCTAAGTACATATTATTTCTTAACAACTTAATTCGCGTAATTACAAAAGTAGCGGATATTATTTACAAAAACACTTTAGTCTATGTATCACAGAAATAATAATTAGACGTATACACATTGTAGAAATATCACTTACGGTTTAATGTTACGTACAAGTGGTATTTTAACACTGTGCAGATAAATACGGTAATAAAATAAATATACCGACTAATAGTTCATTCATAGTATGATCTGTAATTGTGAGAATATAATATGTACGAAAAAAAAAACACGGAATTAAATTCCCTAATATAGAGTAATACCTAACCAGGATAAGGTTTTAAAAGTTATAGGTTTTGAAAATAACTAATAACTGTTTACACCTATATATTAATCGGTATATTTTTGAAACCACTGTATTGTTTCAACAAGAGGAAAACCTCATAATATAATGTAAAAACAGCCTAAAAATCCGAATTTAAACAAAAGCGAGTATTATTAGCTTTAATAATACTATGCACAAACTTTAACATCTAGATTTCGATTGTCCATTACTTGATGTCAAAACACTTTTTGACTTAGGAAATCGCAAAAACATCGATTTTATTACATAATTAATTAGACAGTGTATGTAATGCTAAGCGAGTTCATTCCAATCGATTTAAAAATTTCTATGACATTAGGTTGTGAACTTTTATAGAAATGCTATTAAAATAATCGCTTCTTTTGTACAAACTTACATATGAACTTAATAGAACCGTTATCATAGTTGAAATTTACAAGACAGTAAGTAAGATTAAACTCAACGTTTTTGTAAGCGAAATTCTCTTTCCACGTGTAGCAGATGGTCAGCGGGGACATTCCTCACGCATTACCAATTTAACGACCAAAGTCGTTAATTTTATGAGTTCCCATTTCCTTAGCTTGTTTAACCAAGTAATCGATACTTTGGAAGTGAAAGCCACTGCTCGAAATTGAATTGTCCGCCGAATTGCAGTTGTTGTTAGGTCACAAACAATTCGATGTAGTAATAATTTAAAAAAATCGATATGACTGTCTATCGATATGTTATTGACGTATTTCGCAAAAATAATTTAAATAAGACAAATGAAATTCAGTTATATTATAAATTGATGCCGACAGATTACCGCAGTAGAACCAGAGTAACCAATATAGTCCAGCAAATCAATAAGCTAAATTGGCAACGGACCGGTCACGTAGCTCGAACAACCACCAACTGATGGGGGAAAAAAGATTCTCGAGTGGCAGCTTCGTATCGGCAAGTGAAGTGTAGGGCGGCTCCAACTAGATGGTGTGATGACCTGGTAAGGGATGCAGGAAGTCGATGGATGCAGGTAGCTCCGTCAAGTGTTTATAGGCATTCCTTAGGGAAGGCTTTTGTTTAACCGTGGACTTATAATGGGCTATGATGAGGATGATGATGATGAATATGATGTTAATTTTGATACGGGTAACGGCATCGTCACCTTCATTGTAATTTCAACGACTGAAAACTTAATTAATATCATTTAACTTATTCTTTATATTTATTTTCAGCCTATTGTCTCCAACTGCAGGGCTAAGACTGCCCTGCCGAAGGTTTTCAGATTATCCCGCTAACTTATTCTGGGCCAGCTGCATCGCATCGTTTTGTAGCACTATGTGGGAGGCACTTGTGAAACAATTGGCACGCAACTCGTCTGAATTGCGATAGATAATGTGTCGGGCCCAATTACGCTTCAATTCAGCTTTATAACCAACGTCTGTGATTTGAGTTTTAGATGCCAGCGAGCCATAAAAGTTACCAAAAAAACTTAGGCATTATTTTCTTACTTATTTCTGAATGTAGTTTAGATTGTTAGGTTAAAAGATAACGGTTCTCATTAGAATACATATGAAACAAGATAGACAAAAAATTGGGAGTAAATAAGATTGTTTTAAAGTTAGCTTCGTGAGTTTCGAATGCGTAATACAGATTTTAATATAAAAAATGGATTCAAAATTAGCTTGAATTGAATTAAGTTAATTTTTTAAATATTTGAAACGTAACTTCCGGTGGTATTCGAATTTAATTACTAAACGTTTTAAGAAGTTTATGTATACTAGTCAGTCTTAGATCGAAACATCAAATACTTTTTGAGCATGATCTCTTTACAAGTTTGCTTCTACTAGAATGAAAGTGATTATTATAAATAAACGATAGATGTTGGAAAGAAAAATAATTTATCTTATAATTTTGATATGTCATGCGATATGACATGATATGGCACATATTGTAAAATACTAAAGCTCAAAGTCATGCATTTATTATATGGTTAATATTTGTTAATTTTTTTATTTACTAAAATTAATGAAATATAAATTGAATAAAAATAGCATTTTTTATAAATGATGTTATCTGAATTATCAAGAAAACATATGTATCGGCAATTAATATCAGATAAAGAAAAATGACGGCCTGGAGGCAAATCGGTTAACGCTTCGCTGTGGCGCTGTGGTTCGCAGGTTTTTTCTTTTAATTTCTAAATAATTTTAACAGCCTGAGTGGTAATTTGAAAAGAATTGAAATAAAATAATTAAATTCAGATTTTTAATTAACATTAGAAAGAGAAACAATTTAAAATACGAATGAAACCTTGAGTTTCTTTCATTATATTCTTTTAGTAAATTGATAGTAATATCGTTGGTAAATAAAAATATAATAAACAACAAACGTACTTAATATCATAAAGCGCACTTGAATAATTAAATTAGCAAAACAAATTAAATTGCCTCGTAAAAATATCCCTTACACTTGATACATTATTCATATGCTACTAATCAATTAAAGTAATTTTTTTTATTTGATGGTTCAAATCAGATATAAAGTTCATATCATACACGCACAATTATTAAAATATTAACAAGACCAGTCTCAGACAGATATTATTAAATTGACAACGTCCCAATTTTTAACAGCGATAAATGACAGATTAATTTATTATACTTAATTACTACAAGGCAAACAGTCACAAATTTTAAGAAAATTGACAAAGTATGCACTTTCAAATTTACAGATATAAAAGATGTAGCATTATGCAACAGTTTAAAAGCTACACTGAACATTACCTGTTACTTCAAGTGTAAATTATTGTTAAAATATATGTAATAAAAATAACAACTGACGTGAAACTAATAGTAAATGTAGTAACACATGTTGATGATATTGAAAATGTAAAGAATGTTTCACACATTGAAATTTAATTGAAAACACATGACTAATATATTATTTCATATACTAAATTTAATAATATGCATAGTTCTTTTTTTATTCTACACGTGTGTTGCTAAGGGCTGTTGAGCATTGCCTGAAACAGAAAAGATTATTATAAAATTAGAATTGAAATTGTTAGCCGAGGTTAAGTTCTGAAACAATAAAAACATACAAACAATTATCCAACCAAAGACTCGACTTATATATAATTCAAAATTATTGTTTAAAGACCTTAACCGAAATTTAAGTCTTAATTCACCACTACTACGTATTACTAAAGGTTTCTAAAATACAAATATTATAAAGTTTTAATAATGTAATAAAATGATAATCGCAGGTAAGAAAAAAATTTATTTACTAATAATTACAATTACTAATTTGAGAAGAATATTTTACTAGTAAAATGCCTTGTAAATAAATTATATTTACGGATTTTATATACCCTGTAATGGCGGTATACGAATATCCAATACCCTGTATCGTCCCGTAGCGTGTCGTAAGAGGCAACAGTGAGAAAATGAAACAGGTGATTGGCAGCTTCATCTTCCTGACAATAATAAAATACTCAAAATAATAAAAACACTGCAGTTTCCAATCCGCCTGCCAAGCGTGGCAACTGTGACAAAGTCTCCCCTATGAGGCAATCTATGGTGGCCTTTGTTTAGCAGTGAACTTTATAGGCAGCAACGGATTAAAAAGTTTTATATTATATTGTACCAAATATAGTGTTGGATTATATTATCTATGTGGGATTATACTATCAATAAATAATATTTTTTTTTTAAATTATTGTTCTTTTACCTTTTTTAGTAACAGCAGTATTACTCAAAGTTCTAGTCGATGGAGCCAATATATAATGTGCGCTTGGAGATTGAGGTGTCGTTGATGACGTAGCAACGCCAAGCTGATAAAATGTTCAAGATTAAATCCCTGATACTGGATTAAGAGCGACTGACGAGTAATCAGTCAAGACGATGCGTTAAGATGTCATAGAGTCTCTCAGTGATTGTGTTAGTGTAATCAAAGTTCCATTTTCTTGATTCGTTTCGCGGGTTTTTCTCAAATGAAATTAACTTCTCTATCGTGTGTGTTCATTTTGTGTAACGTTGTGAAAGTAATTGTAATTGACCTATTATTTTTTTTATGTTCTCAAAGGTTTTTTTTTCAACTTTTATAAAACTTCAGTTGTTTTAGATATTGTTATAGAACAAAGGGTTAAAAATACATGTTTTTAGTAATGAGCAGGATTTATATTTTTTTATGTTTTTATTCTTATTTATAGATTCCTCTCGCTCTCTCTCTCTATCACTCTCCCTCTCTCGTCTCTCTCTCCCTCTCTTTCTCTCCCCTCTTTTTAACATAAGTAAAGTAATAAATGATATTGCGTTGTTGTGGTCAAATTATTCCCTTAAAAATAATTTACGTTGGCAATAAACTCACTTTAAACGCTATTGTAATATTTATGTATCATATTTATAAATTTCATTACTTGTTAAAAAAAATTCGTTTGTAATTTATGATTGACTTTCATAAAAACTTACTTAAACTTACTTTAAGATTTTGTATCAGATAAAAATAAGTTTTGTAAACAGATGACTTAACATAAATTGCTACGGAATCTTGATAAATGAGTAAAATATAAATGAATTTAATTTTATAACGTTTCTAGTATATTATCTGTGCTATATATGCCTTGTAGTGTAAACTTTCATCTTAGTTCACATTGTGTATTGTATAAAGTATATTGTATAAAGGAATGGTACCGACCACTGGCTGTGTGCTGTCCGTTGACATCGTAGAATTTGTTATTGGACTTGTTGCGCATTGCGGCGATACTAGGCTCGTTGGCGATGTTATTGAATGTGATGAGTTTCCTGGTAGAAAGTCCATTTATATAAATTAAAATATAAACATAATACAAATAAGAACATCAAAGTTACACGCTCCAGTTCACATTTATTTTACTGTTTTTTACATTATTTTAATATATTTTTTAATTTGATGTGCATATTTTCATATCACTAATTATATTTAAATAAAATTTTATTTCGTAAAATAATATTATTTCTGTTCATCATAAAACCTTTCGCACCTGTGTAGTGTCTGCATAAGAATATCACTACCCCATATCATCCTGTGGATATCGTAAGAGACGCCATGACATAGAAAACTAAAACAGGAGACGAACAAAACATCCTTCTGATAACGTTTAGTAATAATTAAAACTGTGGTTGCAAATTCGCTTACCAAGTGTGACAGTTGTGACCAAAAGCAGTGGACTTTTGATAGGCTTAATTTAATCAATGTGTGAATGAATGAAAAGGTTATTATTGTTTATCACGTAAAAAATTATGATTATTTTAAAGGATATTTACCTGATGGCAAAATTACAGAATTCCTTACAGATGAATAAGGAGGCGGCAAAGGCGTAGATGCTGGCTTAGCCGTGTTCACAGTTGTTGGAAAGCCCAACCCAGAGCCTGTCCTCAAATGTGGATTTCCATACGTAGCGGCATATCTCACATCCACCCCATGTATTAAGCCTCCATTAGGAATTCTATTTCCTACGTTAAAATTGTTTGAAAAATTAATACATAAAAAAATCAAGAAACACAATTTTAATAAGATTGATAATTGCAAGGATTAACTTTTATTAACTGTCTTAAAGAATTAAGATATTAAAACATTCTTAAATAACATAAAAAATTACATTTCTTATTAAAATATACTATCATAGTTGCGTTACTATTCACATTCATTAGTTTTTTTGCTGTTGGAAAATCGATATCTACCTAGTTCTACAAATTTATTAGCTTTTAAATTGTTATTAATTCACGTACATATATATGTTCTATATATACGAGTACATAATAAGTAAAGTCCGTACCTTCAGCTGTCGGCACGCCTAAATTATTTAATGCATTACTACTATCTTGTCCTTTGGTTGAGCGCTGTAATGAATTATTCTGAGATCCACTCCCTGCATTGAATTGCGCTGTCGATGAAGTCTCCACACTCCTAGGTAGGCTACCGTTTATAGACCTAGGATAATGTTTAAAAAATGATTTTATTCAAATAGATATAATTTTAAATATAACAGATTATATGATTATTTTTTAAGTCTGCAATACTTACTATTTAAAATTATATCTTAGCGAAAATGAGAATCATTAATAAGAAAATTAAGTTCTGAATTTCGCACATATCATTTATTTTAAAAGTTTCAAATAACAGTTTTAAAAAATGTCAATCTTTTACCTCTTATTAAAAGGAAATTTATTAAATTACTTTAAAAGCTCTTACCTATTAGGAGTTAACTTGTCATTGCTCAAAGTGGGTGAGGTTACTCTTAACGATCCTGGAGTATAGTCGTGCCCATAATGTACATAAGTTTGATATCCATTATTAAAGCCATTGACCTACAACAATATTAGTAGTGAAAAATAACGATATTAAAACCTTAAACTGAATTAACAAAATTTAAGGTCAATGTAAAACACATTATCATAATAATTATTTTTATTGAAAACAACTTAGTGACGTGAATTCGATAAATACACTGATATAAAACTCAATGAAAAATAAAGAGAGAAGGTTGTTTATATTCAAGTGTAAGACACTGGAAAACTGACCAAATTATAACATTTTATGCGTTGCGATAAAAAGTAACAAAAATAAAATTGAGGCAGAGAGAAATACAAGTCACAAGCACTTTTGCGTGTAGTAAGCTAGTATACACACCTTGTAACAGTCAGAATAGGCTGGATCTGTATAATCGTTGCTATATCTATAGCCTTGATATGTTGTGTTGCTCTGATTCATTGAAGACAGGGGCACTGTGCCGGCTAATGGAATGCCACTCCCTAATTTTGCATTGGAACATAAAGTACTGTTTGATCCAGTATTCGAGTAATCCTGTGTAATGAAAAACATTTTTGTAGCCTTAATTTTTTTAATAACGCATTTGGGTAAAATAAGTGAATAAAATACTTCGTCAATTAGCAAGTTCATTTATAGACATAGAACTTGACTTCGCATACCCTCGGAAATACGTACTGTTAAGCACAGAGGCAACATATCCACACGGTTAATGCTGCTAGATGCTAAATTCTACTTCTTTGATTTACCGCAAAATTCTTCTACTTGTTTTCTATTGATTCGTAGGCCACTTATTCCTGATTTGCCTTAATAAACGCTTTAAAAATAGATTGACGATCTTAACATCAAACGGCACGTACCTTTGACGTTACTTGCAGTCGCCAGTCTATCTCCATCGATTAGAAGCTTTGAGATCTTTCTGGCATTACCCATAGTTACCACTTATATGACAACTGGATATAATCTATAATGACCAGCCACCAAAAATGTAGTTTGGGCTTAAAGATACTTGAAAGATGATTTTCTTAAACTCTTATAGCCACACTTCGCGAAAAACCCACAAGAGACACGTTAGCGTCGCAATAGTTATAATAGGATAGTCGTTGCCGTGGTTGACGGCAGAGACAAGCGCACTTCGATGTAATTTACTGTAGTTTCTCCCTTGATTTATTCTTATATATGATGTTACTCTTAAACGGTACTCTTGAATGCAACTTCTGAACTACACTCGCAATAACAGCACACTCAAAAATGATCAATATTATATTTATTTGCACAAATGTTGGCGTTCCAATCTAGCATCGGTTTTGATAATTCGATTTAAGGTCGCGTTCATTACAAAAAAAAGTAACATAACCAAAACAAGTAAGCTATTGCTAATCCTGTGTCGGCTTATGAAATTAATAACATTTTAAATAATATATTAACAGTTATTTTATAATTATTACTTACAACTTCACAACTTCCATTGACTTGTCGTAATTCCAGTTTCAAATCACTTATGTTTGAATTTCTATCGTTTTCCTTAAACAATTCTTCCGCAGTGACTGTGACATCTGGCTTCTCAGTCATTTGTGCCTGTTTATTCTTCCTTTGTTTTCTTTGACATATTATCACTAACATTATTAGTGCTGCCACCATTATTGTCCCAGATGTTACTCCAAACAAAATCAATAGCAAAGGCAAAGATTCTATAAACAATGAGAAATATTTTGGCATATTATTTTTTATTTAAGTCAGAATCAAATAAAAATGTTGCCTCTATTACGTAGCTCAGCTTCGTTTTATGAAACTCAAACGGGAACGGAAAAAAGGAATTGTTAGCTTAATGTGTAGACGAGGAAACATGAAGTGACAATGAGGTTATTTTTATGACGGTTTATGTGGTCGTTACAGCTATAATGAGGGTTTGTCAAAGATTTTCGGATGATATTCATACCCGTCGATATTTTCTCAAACTGCCTCCAGGGATATTTTTACTCCTTATAAGAAATTTATCTTTAATGCTGCGCTATGAACCGTTCGAAGGCCGATCGTAAAAAACGTATTTTTTATAGGCATATGCTTTAGTTTTGTTGAAAATACATTACTTATGGTCATTAAAGCTTAAAATACTTAAAAATATCAAAATCGAAATGCTAAGAAATTTTTATACAAAAACTTTTTTATGACATGTTTTATTATTTTTAAATATATTAAAAAAACAATTTAACTTACTGTTAGGTCTGAGTGTTATTTCTAAAATGTCACTCCCATATTCATTTGAGACATTACATTTGTAAGTTCCAAAGTGTTTTGATTGACTTGCCCTGATGATCAACGTTGAATTAACAACACCTCCTGGTTGCAAATCTTCTAAGAAAGCGTAGTCCTGAAATGAAAGTTTATTAAATTAAAACAATATTGGTTCCCACCCAGAGTCAAATTCATGAGCTGAATTTTAAATAGAACAGCAACCGCAAATAAAATGTATAGTATGTCAAAAACCCATAAAAAGCGAGAATAACGTTATTACCGTTATTCAACTACTGTAACAACAAAAACATACCGATGGCTAAGATATACTTTATTGCTGATCCTGCTTTTAATTTTGCTACTATGCATATAAAATATATTTTCAAAATAATTTGATATAATATTAATATTTTGAATAATAATTTTCCATAACTGTTATGATTTTCACGCAGTGATCGCGATAAAACTTAAGTAAGTTAAGTAAAAAAACCAAAACGCACGCCTCTCTCATTTTACCCTTTTTCCAATTCCAAAAAGAACCCAAAAATTGATTATAACTACTTTTACGGATTATATCGCGTTTTATTTATTTTATTTTTATTACCCGACGTTTCGGGTGATGGTTACGGAGGACTGAGGTGACTGACGTACCAATGTCAAAGTTAACCCGGAGTACCTTCAGTTTTTAATTATTGTCTTTGGTCCAATCTACGCAGAATGAACTAACTGTGTTTTGAAGTCTTGCAGTGGTATGCTCGGGTTTAGTTTTAATATTATTAATTATAGTGTCCCAAGCAGGTGGTCGTTAGTACCCAGCCTCCTTCTCTATTGAAATTAGGATGTTTTTAATTTCAATAGTCTCACGTATTGTCCTTGGTAGGAATCGATGTTCTTTCGCGAGGATTTGTGGTCTATCGAATCTGATGTAATGGTTGAGGCCATCTAGGATATTATGATCACAAACTGCAGACTTCCCGGAACGTTGATGCTTCACGTAAAAGTAGTTTTAATCAATATGTAAATATAACATGGTGTTCGCGTAAATATAAGAAATCATTATGAGAACCAAAAAAATTAATTAGGTGATGGACCTTTTTAATAGGTTACTTAATCTAGTGACTTTTTATAACAATTAAATGTTTCATACAAAATCATACCTGATCGTGTAGTGCGTCGATTTCTTTTCCTTCAAAAGTCCAAATGATGTTGTCTATTCTTGGTACAGAGAAAGCAGCGCATTCTATATTAACACTATCTCCTTGGGAGCCAAATTGCGTGTTATTAGATATAATTTTGGGCGGGCCTAAAACAAAGGAATTTTTAAAGTGCTGTTTGCAGTAATATTATTTTTTTTAAGTTTTAAACAACATAACTGATTATTTTAAGCTTATTTAACACTAACACATCCCAGTCATTATAGAAAATTATAGTAGAAAAAAAAACTAAGCACTCGCGATTTTTATTGCAATGTAATAGCTTAATTTTAAATAATGTCTCACTATTATAAGTTTATATTTTTAAATGTATGATTACGTCTAACGTTGTTTCAATCTCTGGTTTCTATGTTAGAAGAAGTTTCGTTTTCCCTTACGATACGTTTCAGTAGAGTAGAGTGCACAAAAAACCATTTTCATAAAACAAAATACCGGAACAACGTCTTAAGAACGGATTAAAGTTGTGTCACAAGGCGTATTAAATTATTAAATGAATTATTTCGAATGAAAGTGATATAACATGCGCTTCGTATATAATAAAACGGATTGTAACGAAGAATGGAACCTTTTTTTATTAAAAAAAACCGGGCATTGATAATAAACTTAAGATTAGCTGGCTTAAATATTCCTGCTATGATTTCTTTCGGCGTTAACAAGAATAAATCGAACTTGTATCATCATCATCATCATTACAGCCCTTCACTAGCCCACTGCTGAACATAGGCCTTTCCCAATAAATGCCACAAACCACGGTCCTTAGACAACTGCATCCATAGACATGATATATTATGTCTTACCAAGTTGTTATTCCATCCAGTAGGGGGGCGGCACTACACTTCGTCTACCGGTACGTGGCTGCCACTCGAGAACCTTCCTTACCCATCGGTTTTCGGTTCTTCCAGCCATATGGCCGTACCATTGTCACTTCAGTTCAACAATCCTTGGGCTTGGACTATGTTGGTTACTCTGGTTTTACTGCGAATATCCTCATTTAATACACTTAATTTAGTGTATAAAATAACTTTACGCTCAAAATTTAAGGAAAGCTTAACCGACAATTCTTAAGTTTATTATTTTTACGAAGATTAGCTGTAACATTGACACATATGTACACGAACTTACTAATCTGTTTTTATTTTGAGCTTGTAACTACTGGTTGATCCAAATTCCTATCTCTGAATAATTGATATTTATAATACCTATTCCAATTAGTAAAGTAAACACGATTGTTAGCGGCGTAATGGAATGATAGTAAGAATTTTTTTATCGATGGTTTATTTCTAAAATGCTTTGTGAATACTTTGTATTTAGGATAAAGAAAATATCTTAAGACCCGCGTTAAGGTACAAAGTTTGAATAACAATTTAGAAAACACATTAGCATATTGCCAATTACTTACTATCGACCACCCCTGAATATCCTATATTAAATCTGCTAAATAAAGTGGTGCCTGATTTTGCTTCGTCGTTATCGAACAATATTTAATGTTACGGAACACGTATTTTCAATTTGTATTAAACATTAGAATAAATTAACTATTAAACGCAATTTAAGCCCGCAAGTGTGGGAATAAGATAAGTTCTCGCAATCTTAACAAATATCTATTATAGATTGTTAATGTATAGTGTAAAGAGATAAGAATTAAATTTATTATAAATTCCTTATTGTTATCGTTTTTTTTAAACTGAAATGATAAACGAACAGAAAATCCATCCATGGAGGCTTGTAATTATACTGACTCTATATGCTATAGACCGGATCACACCAGTGCAGGTACTACTGTCAGCACTGCTACTTGGAAAGACCACGAACTTACGTCGACAGGATCATTAGCAGAAAAGGTGTTCTACCCCCTTGTAAAACTATTTTAAAGTTAAACAAATAAAAAGAAATAGCATCAATACCACAATAATTAAAAGTCTTAACTATATCACAAGCCGAGAATATTTTTTACGTGGTAAAGCCCCGCTGCAGCTATATTATGGTCGTATCACTAATGGTTCGTATAACAGTTTTCGATCTTACGCCTCAGGGGTGACAACGCAACTGCATTTAACGAATTAGAAACATTTTAATGATACTTTATTTAAATGAGAGTCTAACTCTTTTCTCATGGAGAAGTCTCAAGAAAAGGCTCATTGTGATCTTACCACACTATTATCAAAGACAAAAATATATAAAATATTACGATAACAGTTTTACATTTAAAACAAGGATTTTTAAGATTATTGTTCTTATGTCTAAATAAACTGCTTATTTAGTTGTTTAAAGGTTATGCTGAACATAAATTAAGAATATTTATGACAGAGAGTTGAAAATCACAATTTTTAAGCTTGTAATCCTTTCATAAGCTTTACTTTTATTTCTTTTATCTTATGTAAAATTCATTGAGTGATAATATTTTAAACTTTAACCTTCATAATTCTTATATAAGTCTCTGAGAGACGAGTACGTCTTTAAGCCATTTGATGTAGAGACTATCGGTTCGTGGGGTCCGCGTGCGGTGAAATTTCTAAAAGAACTCTATTCGCGACTGGGATCACTGCTGGTAATAAGAACGCTGGTTCTATTCTCGCTCAAAGGCTAAGTATAGCCATTAAACGAGGAAATGCAGCCAGCATCTTGGTAAGATACCGTACGGAGCAGGGCTGTATGATAAATTAAGTTATTAGTTTTTATTTTATGTAAGTTATTTAATATTGTATAAACCTCAATGTTATGTGATATAATATAAATTATTAAATTTATATCAAAATTTTAGTTAGAATCCCGCACGGAAAAAATATTTTATAGCCTACAAATAATTATTCCACTTCTGTTTTGCCTCGTGTAATTTATGTATGTTATCCACCCCCATGTTGGAGGTGAAAATTTTAATGGAAACGGATTTTTTTTTAATTGTAGTAAACAAATACTTTTTTAATAATGTTTTTAAATGCCTTTTTGTCCTAATATTATTTTAGTTTATACAATATTATGGTTATTCGTTAACTTTATAATCTTTAATTATTTTGCTGGCCGCTATATAATCTGACCTCCATAAGGAATTATCATAAGAATGAATAATGGAACTTGCGTTTGACACGGTAGCTTTTAAACTAATGAAGGACTGTGGTGGCGTGTATACTATGAGACAGATTAATATTTGTGTATTAGCTCGGGTACGAGTATTAGTGGGATTCTGGCAAGTTTCTTCAGCATTGTATTCATCATTGTCCATACATAATTTTAATCTGTTGCAGTAAACTGCTCTACTTTGAAAATTGGAATGACTTACAGTTAGGGCTACGCTTGCCAAGCATAATGGCAATATAAATGACATTTGTGTATGTGTTATTTGGTAGTATATGAGACAACCATGAAATGGTTGTAGAGTATCAGTTTTTTTTATATAAAAGAGGGGGCAAATAAGCATGCGGCTCTCCTGATGGTAAATGCCGACCACCGCCCATGAACAACTGCTACGCCAGGGCCATTGCATTTGTGTTGCCGGTTTTGATATTTCATCCCCTGAGGTCTGTTAATTCTCGTTAGAGTCAACTTAAGAAAATTGACAGAACTGCTTGCCTTGTAGTGCCAGTGTAAGAGAATCGGCTTATCAATAACACCATCCAATGGGTGTTGGAAGAGATGACAGAGGGAAATAAAATAGAATAGACGGCAGTATTTTCGAGAAACCAATTCGAATAAATAAAAAAACTGCTTTAGCCGAATTGCGCGCGTGGTAAGTATGGCAAATATTCCCCCTAAAAGAAAATTTAGGGGGAAGGTCTATTTTTAGAAGTCTACTTTTGCTTTTGACTATAATGGATGATGAATCGATGAATATCAGGCCTAAAAATATCTAGTCAGTTGAGGAGATCAATGCGAAATATCGATATATTTTTAAAAAAGATAGCGTGACAAGCGATTTCAGTCCACCTGAAAGTAATTACATGCTGTGGCCCATAGAAATCTACATTGTTCACAATTTAGAAACAAAAGGCAGATGCGGTGTCAGACCTGAGTACTAAGATGGAATGTCTCTTACGCAGTAAAATTCGATCTTCTCTACACTCCTCATACGATAGCCTCCTGCTTCAGGATAGTATTCTGTAAGAGCGTGATTGAGTGGACCCCGGTTGAGTCGACCGATTCGTGTGGCAGCTATAATATAACTGCAGCGAGGTTCTACCCAGTCAATAAATTGATATTGACAATCCGACTCCTAAACATTCAATAATAATTATTTCCCATTTATTATTATTCAGTCATCTGTTGAAACAAAAAAAAATATTTCTTAAATTTCAACGCATTTTCTGCAATACACTTGGAAATAAACGATTCTATTAAGCCAGATCTTTAATATTCAAGTGTTCATAAAATCAAGATTCTTTTATTAATATGGATAATAATATTTACATAATACTTTTAATATTACGACCCCTTTAAAGTAATTTAGATAATCCTACTAAAAAAAGATAGAAGGAAATCACACTAATTTACAATGAACTTTCACATTTCCATAAATGATTCGTCAAAATATACAAACAATTTCTTTTGGTCAGTGGAAGTGAATCAAGGTTTCTTTCTATGTAATAAATGAAAATATTTCATACCGCCACGATTATGTTCTTTAATATAAGCTTCTTGGAAATAAATTTAATTAATTAGAAAAACTAACATCAATTTATTACTATAAGAGGAAATGCTTATGTTTATTTAATTGGAATACCACCTGGTCACGGCCACACAGGTCGCCTGGCACATGTTATATGTGACATTGTGCTTTACTTTTAGTGCAGTTTTCCGTCTCACGTACTAAATACAGCATGGATATAAAATATAATTTGACATCGAATAGAATACAATAATATATTTTTTAAATATAGAATATATGTGATTCTTATTGGAAGGCATTTTATACTTTACCACTGGTTTGGAAAAAATCTATCGCGGGACGAACCAGCAAGAAACCCAGGAACTTTTTTTAAGTGAATTATACAATATGGAAGGTTACAAAAACTATTTATAAAAAATATTTTAAAAATACTTGTAAGCAACAACCTCATTCCCAGAGGTTATTATCAACCATGTACTCGTATATGTTTATGATATAATTGCCATTTATATACAGTTTTTGTTTAATAAAATATACTTAAATTTGGTATTATTTATAAATATATTTTCTGTCACTTTAGTGTAATAGCTTAAATTCCCACAAATGAATTACTGACTCTGTGGATTCGTGAAACTGGTATCACTAGCTTGTATTTGTTCCTAGCGTTTCATAAGTGTGTGTCACTTTTTTAACTAAAACTATTTTTTCTTTAGGAAACATAAATTAAATTTTCACAAATACACTGAGAAGATTGACTTTAATTATTTTTTAGTTAATTAAAACTTAATTTCTTTTCTATCTGTGACGGCTGAATAGCGGAGGCGGTAAGTCTTAAGCTGCTATTACGGAGCGAATCCTGTCCGGAACAAATATTTGTTTGGCATACGAACAATTATTCTGAGTCTGAATGTTGTTTGCACACAATTTTATGTGTGCAAGTTGCTTCCACGTCACAATGGAAAATACTTATGTGAGTTTCTTTTTAAATTCGCGAGCAAAAGAACTTTACTTGGCAACTAATTATAATATCACAATAAAAAGTGGAATATTTATTTCGTATCGATTTCGGTATCCAAAGTCTATAAAGTTATGAATAGTGAATTACCGTGTACATCCATATATACAGTGAAAAGTATGATCTCTTTTCTTGATGCTGTCTTTACCATTGGTGACAATAAATTGTACAATTTTATCATGAGTTGTTGCATAAGTATAAATGAAATCTTACCTTTTATAAAAATAGCAGCTTCTGCCTCGATTTCTGGATAACCTTCGACGTTAGCTTTGCATATGTATCGCCCAGAGGTATGCGTATCAACCGTGAGAGTCAGATTTGCCGTTCTGCCCACGCGCTATACAAAATATTAAAAATATGAAGGTATAGGTACTTATTATCAATCATGAACGAATTTTGTAATAATGACTACGTATATTTTATCGCTACGATAAGCTTAAACAGATAACTGATTGACAAAAGGTGAAGGGAAAACAGACGGAACTCTTCTGTGGGAACGACGAATAAAATAGACATCTGTGCCCACGCTAATAATACAAATGTAAAAGAAACAAAGATCTTCCGGACAAAAATTTGATAGAAGGCCATGCGTTAGATAATACGAACGTATAACAACATTTTGGCGGTAACCAAAAAGGTTTAACTAAGTCTTTTTATAGAAATCTTGATATACGTATCATTCTGAAGTTAACCTACAATTTTCGAAATTCGATTTAGCCTTGCTATATCAGTGTTACAATCCGTTGGCATATTTTGGACATCTGCAGTAGTTTCTTACTCAGAGAGAACCTGGACCTTAAACTTCCTAAAATGGTCAACAAATAAGGACGACGATTCGGTTGGGAAAAAATAACACGCACTGCTTATACACTTTCGATTTGAATATCCGAAAACCATGATGTATTTTGAATATCAACTGCAACTGAACACTTATGCTGACCCCAGTGGTATTAAATCTATACAAAGACGAAAAGAAATGAGAAGATCAAAGTGCCTAAAAACTTATTACCGTGGTATGTTGAATATTGTATACTGAAAAAGTTAAAAATACCATACGTACAATATTTTGATCTTCTTCACGGTGAAGCCACTCAATTTCGGGTTTTGGATGTCCATCTACATCACAGCTCAAAGTTGCGACTTTACCGATCTCCGCTTCCACGTCTTTAGGAATATTTCTGAATGTGGGCGCATCTACAAAAAATTAATTAATTTTAGAGTTTTTCAAGTTACCGTGTTTGATGAAGTAGACGAGAAGAGAGTAGACGTAGAAGTGGCAGATAATTCTAATTCTGTGGGTATTTATAATACAGTAAGTATTTTAACGGTCACACGAATGCTGTGGTGCATAATATCAATCTATCCTTGATTTACAAAATAATAAATAGATCAAAATGCCTCGTTACTACTAAAATGGATTGACACTCATAATACTTGACACAAGTTGGTATTCTGTGTGAGTGCAGTCCTTCCGCTTTTGAGTTAACCCATTCGTTCTTCAGCCAATTAGTTTTAGTAACTGTCCGGTTGTCTCATATGAGACAGTATCTAATTTACCATAAGTGCTTGAAATACCCGGATCGGCAATGGATATTTTGGAAAACTATAATTTTAATTAACTGTAAAATGATTTTCGCGTATTGGCGGTATAAACGTGTTTATATAAATCTAAAATAAAGCAATTGCTTACAGATAACTAAACATAAAATAAATAAATATCATTAAAAATAATTATAGTCTGTTAACAAAACAAAACTAGCTTCAGGCTAGACAGGTCCCCTAAAATTTTGCGGAATGTCAATCATCAGAAGGGATTATACTTACATGTTACTTCCAATATTTCCGACTCCTCGCTTTTGCCCACTTCGTTGTGAACCAAACATTTTAGAACAGCTCCGTTATATTTTCTTGTTATATTTGTTATAATCTAAAAATATCATAATAATTTGTCATCACACTTAATATTATATGGCCCAAAATTAATACACATGAAGATCTTTGATTATACTACATTGATATTATAATGACACAAAATAGTGTGGTAAAACTTTCTGAACTTGTCCATGGAGTGTATTCAGACCAACAATGGAAAGCGATATAAAAAGAGTCTGACTCTCTAATGGCACTAATTTGATTTTTTATTTCAAGATTTCTTATTTCAAATATTTGTTTTCCTTTAACAATATAAATCAACAAATCAAGTAGAGATTCCAATTAGTTTTGCTACTCTGTGGCATACGCCGTGTGTCTCGCTTCTCAAGGAGTCAAATTCAGACAAGTTGACAGCACTCTGAAACACAAAGCTTAGCAAGATAGGATTTACCCGAAGTAACGTCTGGCTAAGACAACGGGCTAGCTCACTTAACTCGATAGAATTGGATTTATTAGATATAAGCTTATAAAGTTTATGTAAACGGCTTGCGGTACATTTACAAAATTAAACATTAAATATTATATTGCTATAAATATTAACTCAATAACAGAATTTCATTTTAATAAGTTATCTCTCTATATTACTATACTGTCCGGCCAAATTTAATCTCACGTTAAATTGCAAACAAAATATTTTTTGAAATACCTATATTTGAGATTATCGTTGGTCTAGTGGTTGTAGTAGTGCGACTGCTGATCATGAGGTCCTGGGTTTGAATCCCGGGTCGGGCCAAAAAAATTAATTATTGAGTTTTTCCGTCAAGAAATTCTCAGTAGTTGCCCGGAGTCAGGAAGTTGGCGGTGTCTCACCGCCGTGCCTCGTAAAGCACGTAAAGCCGTTGGTCCTGCGCCTGATCTCTCTCCGGTCGTGTCGGTTTACCGTCCCATCGGATTATGAGAGTGAGGGAATAGAGAGTGCACCTGTGCTTGCGCATACACTTGGGAACTATAATCCTGTCCTGCGCCGATGGCTAGTCTCCATTGAGGCAGGACGCCGTGGCCGAAATTCGGTCTGGAGGACATTATTATTATTATTATTATTTGAGATTATACTAATTGAAGTCCAACCTTCTCTGTAAAGGAGTTATTCTAAATCGTGACACTTCCCCATTAACTACACTATCACAGAAACTACTCCTAACTCAGAACAGATATATCTCTATTCAAGAAGGATTCTTTTTTAATAAAGGGTAATAAACGTGCATACAGTTTGTGACAATAAATAGAATCAAGCGTTACTTTGCGGAAATCTATTATATTAAAGCTGGTAAGATTTACTTCGCCCGCTCAATGAGATAATACGTAATTAGGTAATACATAACTAGATGAAACTTTTTGTGGTTTAATACACATACCTATCTTTAATTAAGATTCAAAATGAATATGGGGTTTTATTCCCGTGTACTAAGATGATGAAATGTTTGGCACAAAAAAAATCTTCGATATTCGTCATTCACCACACAAAACACAGGTACTCTGCTGTTTTTTTATGCAATTTTCTGTTTTCTGTGATTTGAACAAATTGGTTTGAAATTCTGTCCGAGAAATTACGACTTACTTACTTACAATTGCAGAATCAGAATTTAATATCATTACTTTTACGCTTACAGTTTAACAAAAATAATTTTACCTCTTCAAACTGGGTTAGACACATCGTTCTATTTTATTATGCGGATCTTCGCTAATTAATTTTTAACACCATTAAAATATATTTTTAAAGTGTCATACTTACCAATTCTGAAGTGTTACCAACAAGTTCCCCATCCAAGTACCATCTGAATGTCATGTTATTTGGGTTTGCATCAGCTTTACAGTCTAAAATAAAGTAAATGATTTAAAGAAAGTTTTAATCTGATCTCAAAAGAATGTTTTGCAACAAATTATATGTTATGCAATGGTAATTGCTTTGTCATAATACAAGTCTTACGTAGCTACATAGAATGTAAAGGCAACGCTTATAGAGGTCGTATCACAAAGCGTATTCATTTGCTTAACTAAAAGCGACCTTATTCACAAAAGAGATAAATACATACCTACAATAAGATCCTCTCCTTCAGGTATTTTTCCTTTGTTACCAGATCTCTTAAACAGTTTTATTTTAGGTCCATATTTCACCTGAGGACAAATAACATTGATTAAAAACTACGTATAAATATTTTTTGATCACAAATCCATTACTCATTTTTCATTTTATAACAGTAATTACAATCATCTTCGTGCTGACGTATATCTCAGGTTTTAAATAAAAATAATAGAGATAGTATCTAGGTATGACACGTAATATTCCTCTAATGTAATAGAAATATAACGCATTTTAAACCTTAGGTATTATATACTAATATTGACTTTTAAATAGGATAGGTCTTAAGATGAACATGGACAAAACAAAGATCATGTTTAATGTCCATGTCACACCTATGCCGGTAGTTGTTGGGAGCACTATGCTCGAAGTTGTTGACGAGTACGTTTACCTGGGACAAATAGTCCGACTAGGTAAGTCCAACTTCGACCGAGAGGTCAATCGACGGATTCAACTCGGCTGGGCAGCGTTTGGGAAATTAGGACACATCTCGTCAGGTATACCTCAATCTCTGAAAACTAAAGTGTATAACCAGTGCGTGTTGCCAGTGACGACTTACGGATCAGCACGTCATACACTGCTGCACGTCTCATCACGCTCACAGATCGTCATACAGCGATCTATGAAGAGGGCTATGCTCGGAGTTTCTCTGTGTGATAGACTCAGAAATGAGGATATCCGCAGTAGAACCAGAATGACCGACATAGCCCAACGGATTAGTAAGCTGAAGTGGCAATGGGCCTGCCATATAGCTCGAAGGACCGATAACCGTTGGGGAAGAAAGGTTCTCGAGTGGTAGCCTCGTACCGGTAGGCGTAGTGTATAGCGACCCCCCCACTAGATGGAGTGACGACCTGGTAAGACATGCAGGAAGTCGATGGATGGAGGTGGCTTAGGACCGTGCTTTGTGGCATTACTTAGGGGAGGCCTATGTTCAGCAGTGGACTTGTGAAGGGCTGTAATGATGATGATGATAATGATTGACTTTTAAGAGATAAACTTGTATGTTCACCTTTCTGTGCCAAATCGTCCCGTGGATGTTAAAATAAGTGACAGAGGGTAACAAATCAGATGGCAAGTAGCGTTTTCCTATTCACGGCAAAAACTAAAAAACTGCGGTTGCCAACCGGCCTGCTAAGCGTGGCAACTGTGGCAAATATCTCTAAGGAACGCCCATGTTCAGCAATGGACTTTTGATAAGCTACAGTGGTAATGGTGATAGAAATATTAAAGTAAAATGGCAAATTAGTATCGTATTTTATATTTTTCATTCCAGGTATTATTCATTCGAGGCATTACTTATCTTTGAATAAAAATAATCTTTGAATAAACCTTTGAATAAGTAATATCTTACAACTACATAATTTAATAACGCCATAAGAATAATCAAAAGCAAAACTAAGTTACATCCCATATATACGTCCCACTGTTGAACACAGGCTTCCTATCATTTTTAAGAGGGTTTTACGGCAAGGAAGTGTCTGCCGCGTGCCCTAAAGCGTGTTCGCGAACTTCACATGTGTCGTAATTTTTTTTCGTATTTCTCAGACATGCAGATTTCTTCACGATGTTTTCCTTCACCACCGCCGAGCACGTGATAAATTAGCACTTAAAATGCAATTAACAATTTCATTGGTGCCGGCGGGGATCGAACGCAGGATACTCGCATACTATGAAACTTACAGCGAACGCTCAGCCTCTGAGCTACAACGGCTCAAAAAATCATAACAATAAAAGAAAGCACAACTAACGAAAATATAATTATTTACGATAGATGACAAGACAATTTAGTCGAGTATCTTAATAAAGAAATAATTATTTTTAACAAAGATGAAAATTAATTGGCTATGAACTCCGTTCTATAATAGCCGTTACACGAGGGAAGTAATAAACAAAATTCATTGCAGCAGATTCTAAAAAAACGCATAAATAAAGGGATACCAGCCAAACCAGCTAAGCCATAAACTCACCGAATAATAAATGAGAGACAGTTTTTGAACTGAATTTTTAATAGCTGGCACTGCGGACTAATCTATTGGCTTTATAGCTTTGTTTTACTTGAAATGAATAGGGGAAAATAAATGTTCTGTCGCGATCGTGGAGCAAATTAAAATTTATACATGTGCGGTAAAAATTGTTATTAAATTTTTCCGAATATGCCACCGCTGTTCAATTTAGAAACGACTGATAAATTTTCGTAAGTTAGAAACGAGGTATAACACAAAATCAAAACCTCAAAGAATACCAGCGTAAATTAGTAGCATAATACTGCTGTGTTTCGTATGGTGAGTGTAGAGAACCGGAGACCCTTTTTATTTCCCTTGATTTTGTCGCCCAACACCATCAGGTGGACTGTATGCTCGTTTGTCACCCTACCCTTTTAAAAAAAAACTGTATTTTAATGTAATCTTCCGTGCGTTCGTCCATTATAGCCTATAAAATTCCACTGCTGAATATAGGCCTCCCCCATAGATTGTTTCATATGAGGAATTTTTTCATAGTTGCCATGCTTGACAAGCGGGTTGGCAATCGCAATTTTTTTCAATTATTTTGAGTTGTTATCAAGAAGATGATGCCCATTACACGTTTCAGTTTCCCTCTGTCATCTCTTACCACACCTACGGAACGAAATGTGATAGTGGATATTTTTACAACGCCACTGCACGGCAAATGTAAACGTGAACTTACTCTGTTATAATAGTAGTATTAGTATAATTTAATTTAATTTAAAACTATTAAATTTAAATTAAATTAGTCAAATTTCCATTTGACGTCGGGATGGGCAGTTTTTGTAACGTCACAGATACGTACATTTGACGGTTGTGTATTGGGTGGGAAATAAAAAGAAAAGGTGCACTAAATAAACATAATATTACCTCTGTATATATATATATATATATATATATATATATATATATATATATATATATATATATATATATGATTTATTTTATACGACTATAAAAACTCTCTTTTATTGATCTTACAACTCTATTGTAAATATCTCTCTTCCATTGTTATATCATTGATGTTTGTGTTTGTTTTACTATTCTTATATATAGAGTAGTTTACTAGGTTGTAGAACCTTCTCACAATTGTTTCAACTGTTTTTTTACGTGGTAGAGCGATGCTGTAGTTATGTTAGTAGTACAGTTATAGCACGAATGGGACGGCTCGACCAGGGAAGGACCACGCTCTCACACAATACCAGCGTAAAATAGTAGCTTAATGCTGCTGTGTTTCGTATGGTGCGTATAAAGAACCGGAGACGCTTTTTACTGGAAGTGAGGCATTCCATCTTAGTCCTCACGGGTGACAACGTATCTGCATTTTGATTTATAATCAAGGATAAATGTAGATATCTACCACAGCAACCAATTACCTTTGGTGGACTGTGCTCGTTTGTCACCCTATCTGTCTACCCCTATGTGTCTCAATATACAATCAATTTAAACCGGACAATTTTTTTGACACACCGCCTATGAATATCCACTACTCCATATCATCCCGTGGATATCGTAAGAGGCGACAGAGGAAAACTAAAATAGTATTTGGGTAGCAATATAGTCCTGTTAAAATATTAAAAGAAACTAAAAATAAATCATATATATATATATATATATATATATATATATATATATATATATATATATATATGATTTATTTTACACGACTATAAAAACTCTCTTTTATTGATCTACAACTCTATTATAAATATCTCTCTATTGTTATATCTATATTATGTTATAGTATATCTATATTATGTTTATATTGTCTTACATTAGGTCAGACAATAATTTTAATATTTAGAACAGTTATAAATCCCAATTGTGAAAAGGTTATGACTGGCGATTAAAGCTAGATATGTATAGGAATGTAGAAGACAGCACCATAGCTCGAAACAGTTTTTTGCTGTGCTCGCACTGCTGCTTTCCGGTATGTAGGGTATAGAAAGCCAGTACAGTTTCAGGGTGTGAGGTATTTCATCTTATTCCTCAAAGCTGACAACGAATCTGTCGACTTCTTTGTTTTTCATCTTATTCCTCAAAGGTGACTACGAATCTGTAGACTTCTTTGTTTTTCATCTTATTCCTCAAAGGTGACTACGAATCTGTAGACTTCTTTGTTTTTCATCTTATTTCTCAAAGGTGACCGAATCTGTAGACTTCTTTGTTTTTCATCTTATTCCTCAAAGGTGACTACGAATCTGTAGACTTCTTTGTTTTTCATCTTATTCCTCAAAGGTGACTACGAATCTGTAGACTTCTTTGTTTTTCATTTATTTCTCAAAGGTGACCGAGTGTGCTGTTTTTCATCTTATTCCTCAAAGGTGACTACGAATCAGTAGACTTCTTTGTTTTTCATCTTATTCCTCAAAGTTGACTATGAATCTGTAGACTTGTTTGTTTTTCATCTTATTTCTCAAAGGTGACAACGAATCTGTAGACTTCTTTGTTTTTAATTGTATTCCTCAAAGGTGACTATGAATCTGTAGACTTCTTTGTTTTTGATCTTACTCCTCAAAGGTGACAACGAATTTGTAGACTTCTTTTTTTCATCTTATTCCACAAAGGTGACAACGAATCTGTAGACTTCTTTGTTTCAATTTGGCTAAAGGTGACCATGGACTACAGTGGTCACTTACTATCAGATAGGACCATAAGTTCGTTTGTCACTTCATTTTTATATTAAAAAAAAAACACGATAAATGTAAGGAGATACCAATCGAGTGCTTGGGCTAGTCAGTGGTATCCGAACAGTGTTGCAAAATTTAGTGAGATTTAAAGCAAAGTGTATCATATCTAACGATTAAAAGAGCCCTCTCAACCTTACACCTTCTTATCAATATGGGTTTCTAAAATAAACCGGCTGCCTTTAGTTTAAGGGATTAGGATTTAATAATCATTACAACAAAGTTTTTATGTACCAGTACCGTAGTAGTACGGTGATTGGGTCAAAATGACTAGGACAAAAACATGCTCTCACAGAATAACAGGGTAAAATAACAGCTAAATGTTGCTGTATTTCGTATGGT